GAGTCAAATAGAACTGCCCGGTAAACCGTAGGCAGAGAGGAAGAAGAGGACAACAAACGAGGGGCTGTGACAAACTGTTTCGTCGGAGTTTCACCGACTCATCAGGAGGCTGAACCCTCAACAGTCTATATATATACAGTTTGTCACAGCCCCTCGTTTGTTGTCCTCTTCTCTCTCTCTGCCTACGGTTTACCGGGCAGTTCTGTTTGTGACGATATATATATAAATATCCAAATGCATTGGGTGCTCAACCCTACGAGCTATGGTGTCTTCCTTCCTGACTAGTCCTAGGTATGGCGCTACACGGCGGGTACTCCACCAATCTGCCCGACGAGTCTCCTCGAACCGTCGCACAAGCGTACACCAGCGCTTCGACAACATGAAAATTGACAATACTGTAGCTGCTTAAGTAGCAGCTCCATGGACATCTTTGTCGGCTCCAGACTGGTAACCGTTCCCAGGGCCTGTCGGCTGCACTTTTGCCAATTTTGGAAGTCACCGGACTTTCGCACGATGCTGGCGCTAAATTTTGACTGGGACTTGGACTTTGCTTGTTGGGTATCGGGCCTACCGGACTTCTAATGACCTGAGACCTCTACTAGCCTATGGCCTGGATCGGCGTTCCAGCCGCTGGGCCTGCCGATTCGGCTACTGTGCGTGGGACTGGGGCCTTTTGGACTTCGAGACCGGGATACGGGATTTGACTGAGATACAAATTCCTTTCACTCTCCCGCCGGCCTAATCTCGAGATCCTCCGATAAAAGATGACATCTTTCTCACCTGTTTTCGATATTGATGCCTCTCCTAGCCCTCTCATAGTATGACAAACCTCCCTATGCAGTACGAGGTTAAACCCAAACTGAGTAGCAGGTGTAGGCATCTTAGGCAGGCTACCTAGCAGTCGCAGACAAGTCCGGACTGTCCTAGCTTACCCAAGGGTAGGCGGATCTTGGACCAACCGCGGTGACTTTTATCCCTATCCAGCCCTGGATCTGTTCCTACTGAAACTATAAAACATGTGATAGACCCCCCTGACCCAGGCTGGTATTGTAATTGCTAGTGATTTGTTCTGATGGCGCCCTGGTGATTGTCTCTTTACACTTACTTGGCGACACCATGTGTATAGAACTGTTTCTTGCCCATCAGTTGCGACTAGCAGGGAGGGGCTCTGAGAATGCCGGCTGCAATGTAGTAGAGAAACTTAGAAGAAGGGGACAACCCAAGAGGAGAAATGCCTGGGCAAAAGGGGGGAGGGAGAGGGGCTTGTGGGAGGGAAATGGGGACAAAGGGAGTAGGGGAGGGGGAGGCGTGGTTGGAAGGGAACTGGGGAAAGGGGTTAGGGGAGAGAGGGGGAGATGTACTAGGAGAAGTGTCTATCCAAAGATCTGAAGACCAGGTTAAGGACAAGTGGAACTGGTTCGTGTGAGAGTGTTTCTGAATGGGGAGGAAGGAGGTGCTGTGCCAGCATAGCAGGTGGCAGACCCGGAAGAAAAGGAGGGAGCGACAGGGTGAGTTTAGGCCTCCTGGCGCCCTTGTTGCCGCTGACCCACCTTCCCGAGTCCACAGTCCCTGTGCCCCTTTCCGTGGCGAGCCAGGTGCCGACCTGGCCCGATACCCCCTACAGTTTTTCTGGTTTTTTTTTTTTTTTTTTTTTTTTTTTTTTTTGAACAAAGCTCCATCTATTGGTGGGGAGCAACACCTGCTGGAAACCGGGTCCAGCGTCCCATAGATACAACCTTATCCTCACAAATTGGCACGAGCTGGGAACCGGGCCCAGCGTCCCATACCAAGTACCTTCAGGAACCTCACCAAGAAATTTCATGGAAATAAGACCAGCAAAAACCCTCAAAAATTCTACTACTGATGATACTAATGATACCAGTGATGATAACCAAGGAATCTAGCTACTCGTGCTGAATTCTAATCCTGAGCAACTCCAAGCCTTCCCTTACCAGGATATTGCAACTCTAGACCAAGACAAACCTATCCCCCCGCTGCCATAGCTGATCTCTTCTCACTACCCAGGCTAACCCCGCCCCATGAGTTGTCAAGGTAGCCCCCCCTAGTTCACCACATCGGCAATCCAGGAGCACAGAACAAAGCAACTTCAGCAGTCGTCAGTCTAGGTTCGACAATCCCTGAATTCCTGTATCCTAAATAAAGAAGAAGACCAGGTGCTGCCAAGATTGTACGGCCACGGATGGCATCGAATTTATTAGATCGTGAAGAAGATACGATTCCATTGGTGACAGCTCAAACCAATCCACACCCACTGTACCCTGTCTCATGCTGCCTCCACCGAGGAAAATCCCTCGGCCCCAACATAGAACAGATCCCCTCCCCTCCCTCCACCTCATCCGCGAAGGCAACCAATCCCCTCCTAGAGGCTGCCTTTGCCCACCCCTTGTCCCTGTCTGCCCCCGTTGGGATTGAAGGCGACCAACTCTCCAACCCCGGCCCCAGACTCAGACAATCCCCGATCTGCCCTACTCCCAATAGGGCTATTGCCTCCCACCATGCAACACCCTTGTAGAATAAGGCTCCCCTGTAACAGACCCCAGGGTTTCTTTTTCGGGGACAGCTAACTAGAGTCTATACCCACAACTGGCCAGCCCTATCTTTCCTTCCCCTAGCTTCCCCAAGGCCAGGTGGAGCCCAGGCTGACAGTCCTACCTCCCTTCCCCTGGCTTGTCCCCTAACTTAGGCCAGGCGGTTCTCAGACCTGCTGTGGGTAACTACCGTATATCTGTACCCTGGGGTCTCAAAACCCCCCCCTGCCTACCAAAGTTCCAGCCATAACCCCCGAAATCCTATCCCCCCTAAAACGTCTGCAAAATTCAATGTTCGAAATCCCCACTCAGGAACAAGAAAATCGTGAAAAAACAGAATAAAGAAAATTCGCCTCACCCCACTCGGGGAGACAGGCAGAGCAAAACCTACTAGTGAAATTACTGAGCAATCCCAACCTGAACATATTTGTCTGATGTTACTACTGCGAATAGTAGTAATCAAGAGGTATGTAATCAAGAAGCAGGTAATCGAGATATAGGTGATCAAGATATGGGTGATCTAGATGTAGGTAATCAAGATAGAGCTCATCAGGATGTAATTATTAATGGCTATTAGATAATTGGATAACCAAAAACGGTACTCTGAGACCAAAAAGTTTTCAGATGATATTAGTATTGATGATGGTAGTGATGATGATGGAAGTATTATCGAGAAGTAAGTAATCGAGATCTAGGTAATGAAGATATAGGTGATCTAGATATGAGTAACCAAGATGTAGCTAATCGGGATGTACGTGAAGCTGAAAACGGCACCCTGAGACTAAACGATTTTCAGATGATTGATGATGATGATGATGATGGTGATGGTGATGATACCGATTTCGAAGATGATGATGATGATGATGATGATGATGATGATGATGATGATGATGATGATGATTATGGTGGTGATGATGATGATGATGATGATGATGATGATGATGATGATGATGATGATGATGGTGATGACGACGACGACGCCCAGCGCCCTGCGATCACGAAAGGATGATGGTGATGATAACTYACCTCCTGTTGATGACGTTGGTGCTGCTGYTGGTGATGATGATGACGAGCAGCACCCTACTGATGATAATCCCGACAACCCTTGATGATGATGCGCCCAGCGCTCTGGTGATGATGATGATGACGATGATGATGATGGTGATGATACTGATTGTGATGATGATGATGATGATGATGATGATGATGGTGGTGATGATGATGATGATGATGATGATGATGATGATGATGATGGTGGTGGTGGATGGCGGTGACGAACAGCTCCCTGACAATGATGATAACGATGATGATGATGATGATGATGATGATGATGATGATGATGATGATGATGAAGGATGATAGTGACGACGAATCACCCCCTTGACGCTGTTGATAACGAAACTCAGCTTGATGACGAGCCTTGATGATGATGACGCCCGTCACCCTGACGACCACGCACACGATGACGTTAGTGCTGCTGCTGGCGATGATACTGACCAATCGTGATGCTGATGATGACGAGCCTCAGCTCAATGACGAACAGCGCCCAGCGCTCTGGTGATGATGGCGCCCAACACCCTGATGGAGGTGATGATGAGCCGCACCCTGCTGATGATGCTGAGGATGATGATGATGATGATGATGATGATGATGATGATGATTAGGATGATGATGATACGGCGATGTAATGATCACGAAAAAATGATGATGGCGATAAACGAAGACACCGGTGATGACGGGCAGTCACTTCACTCGCACTTCGGGTTGCCCAAGGCTCTCTCCGCTGCACTCCACAGGCATCACTAGAGGCGACACCTCACAGGCTCTATGCCACGGGCAGAAACGCAGCAGCAATGGAGTATGGAACTCCCAGGAAGCCCCCGGGAGTCAGTCTAGTTCTCCCTATCAACTCGTGATACGGTGTAGACCAGCACCTTTGGTCCCCGCGCGTGCGCAAAACGCTTAATAGGTAGCCGCTGTAAGCTCGAGACCCTGTCCAGTAACTCCCCTTAACCCCACCAGCGGCTCCATCACGCCATCGCCCCGCCTTAGTTCGTTCGTATGGATACTTCATAGCGAGAGCGATGCAAGCCGGGCACCCTCCCGCTTCGCCGCCTCACTCCACCGCCGTAGTTAATGTCGGGGCGCAGCGCTCCCGGTAGCGCTGCGCCCTCGCCCTCCAGGTCTGTTGAGTAATAACTACCTCTTCTCGAACTTTGTCTGTCTATACCCCCCAGAATCAAAGAGGCTTTGTTGTGTAAAAAAAAAAAAAGAGAGAGAATTGTCTAGTTAATGTGTTGGTCATTGAGAGACGGTTAATGGAAGGCCAAAAATTCGGGGTTTTTCGCCACGCCACCACAAGCAATGTCGTCAAAAATTTCATGAACAAACATATATGTGAGTGCCGGTGGGAAAGAGGTAGGCGATGACTGTAAATTGTTATGTCAATGCTAATGCTTTCTTGCAATACACCGGCGAACGCTGGTGGAGTAGTGGCTAGATGAAATGGTGATCAGCGATTCGGGAAGTCCTGACGAGTCGGCTGCAATTTTGGGCGATTGCGTGCTGGATCGCTGCTATGAACTGTAGGATCTGGGCGAACCTGTGTAATAGTTGAGTGGACAGGGTGATGAACGGTAGGTCTTAGTGCTGGGTACGTGGCATCTGGGACCGACAGTACTTGAGCGAGGAAAGGTGTTGATGATTGATCATGTGGCCTGGGGGCATAGTTCGAGTGCAAAAAAGACACTCTTCGAGCCTTTTTTTTTTACACGCTGTCTACTTGTTTTCTTGCTGTTTTCGGAGTTAGGTGTCTTGCGAGATGCCAGTTTTTCCTTCCATAACTGTGCCTGTGTATACCACTACTTTCCTTTTATCCCTTTCTCTATTGATGTATGAAGTGGATGGATGCTTGCTCATGTCGCTTTGTGGTGATTATCCATATATGGAGTGGGTTTCAAACTGTGTCGCCTGTCTTGCTCTTTCGTTGTCAAGATCTTGTTGGGCGACAATCGTTGAAATGCAAGGGCTGACGATGGTTCTATGATGAATGACACATGGATCTTCTCCTTCTCTTCCTGGGAATGCCATGGTGTGTGGATCATTCCCTCTTACTTTCTTCTCGTTAAATATTTTCTTTCTGTCGGATCCACGCTTTCAATCAACCTAATTGGCTTGCTTGTCGTAGCGATCTTCCACTCGTAGGGAAGAGCGTAATGAGGAGCGCCGTTCAGTTCTTGCCTTTCCAGATCATTGATGCTCATCTTATCTTCCTTTTGAATGAATAAATCTTTCTACCTAGGTCGAGGGATTTTGGAATGGACGAAGACCTTTTGTTTTGAATGTTTATCAATCGAAGCATTTATGTTGACGTCATTCAATACTTATTCGATTTACAGCTAGTTTAGGAGAACTTATGCTTGAACTCTTCCGCCAGCTTCATGGGTAATCCCCTAACACGACAAAACATCAGGCATAACTTGGAGAATCTGCTCACATTGCCTGCTTTCTATCGCAGAGGAATTTCCGAAGTTGAAGGTATTTGATCATTTTGTTTCGTAAGTGGCAGATGCGTGTGTATCTGCCATGTGGACTGAGTCAATGAAGTCATCGGAGCGTCAGTTTCTCAAACCTCCCTTCCCACAACAAGGATAAGACACGTGCTTGTGAGGGGGATGTCCGAGAAGCCGCCGCTAAGATCGACAGTCCTTATCACTTCCCTCCCGAAGCATGATGTTCAGGATTCGTCAATGTGGGTTTTGTGATTGCTGATACCCACTTCCCTCCCTACTCCATTTTGCTTCCCTTCAACGAGTTGATTGTCGTGCCATGGCCGGCATTCGCCTCCCACTGGCCTCACACCCTGTGCAACGATTGGCGCCGCACGGAGCGCTACCAAGCTCAAGGGTTCAACTATCGGACATGTCCCAAGGAGGAGTTCAAAGACAAAGCAGTAAGACTGCGGCCCTCTGACACATGTTCTGCGCTCAGCGAAGAACACCGTCAGTTCCTTGTTCGAAACCAAGATCCGATGTGCACTCCCCCTCCCTTTCAACCAAACGAAAAATGTCGTGCTGCGCGCGGCGAAGTTCAAAGATATTTTATCGATTAGATAGTCATTAGGACCCATTGTCCTCCACCTCCTTCCCGCCTTTTGTTTGTCATATCTGCCATCCCATGGGAGATTCCAGTTCTATCTATGTCTCTGCAGTCAATAATCCAGAAATCCTTCGCTCACCTTATTTTGTCGCTTTCCAAGCCCCTTTCCGTGCTTTAGTCAATCTGACTAGGAAAGTAGAGCAGGGCTTAAGGTGGAGCGTCCCATGTCAAGATCAAGCAATCTTTCCACTAACCTCCCTATGTGGTAAGAGGTTTAACCCAAACTGAGCAGCAGGTGTAGGCAACTTAGGCAGGGTAGCACCCACAGATAAGTCCGGACTGTCCTAGCTTACCCAAGGCTAGGCAGATCCTGGACCAACCGCAGTGACTTATATCCCTATCCAGCCCTTGACCTGTTCCTATTGAAACTATAAAACATGTGAGAGACCCCCCTGACCCAGGCTTATGAGTGGGATGTCCGAGAAGCTGTCACCAAGATCGGTGGTCCTTATCACTTTCGTTTCGAATCACGTCAGTGTTCAGGATTCGTCAAGGCGAGTTTCGTGATTGCTGATACCCGCTTCCCTCCCTACCCTGTTTTGCTTCCCTTCAATGAGATGATCGTCGTCTTGTGGCCAACAGTCGCTCCTCACTAGCCTCACATCTGTGCAGCGATTGTCGCCGCAAGGAGCACTACGAAGCCCAATGATTCAACTATCGGAAGCGTGGCAAGGAGGAATTCAAAGAGAAAGCAGTAAGGCTGTGGCCCTCTGACTCAGATTCTGCAGTCTGCGAAGAACACCGTCGGTCCCTTGTTTGAAACCAAGATCTGACGTGCACTCCCCCTCCCTTTCAACCAGGCGAAAGACGTCTCGCTGCGCGTGACGAAGTTCAAAGATAATTTTTGGATTAGATAGTTGTTAGGACCCTTTCCTACTCCCCTTCCTTTCCGCCTTTTGTTCGTCACTCCATATCTGGGATCCCATGGGAGATTTCAGTTGTGTCTGTGTCTCCTCACTCAATTTTCCAAAAATCCTTGGCACACTCCATTTTGCCGTTTTCCAGGCCGCTTCCCGTGCTGTAGTCACTCCGACAAGGAAAGCAGAGCAGGGCGTGAGGTTGAGCGTCACACGCCAAGATCAAGTAAGCTTTCCGATAACCTCCCTATGTGGTAAGAGGTTCAACCCAAACTGAGTAGCAGGTGTACACAGCTTAGGCAGGTTAGCACCCACAGACAAGTCCGGACTGTCCTAGCTTACCCAAGGCTAGGCAGATCCTGGACCAACCGCAGTGACTTATATACCTATCCAGCCCTCGACCTGTTCCTATTGAAACTATTAAACATGTGATAGACCCCCCTGACCCAGGTTGGTATTGTAATTGCCAATTTGCCAGCGATTTATTCTGATAGTGCACTGGTTATTGTCTCCTTACACTTACTTGCCATCACCATGTGTATGGAACTGTTTTCTGCCCATCTGTTGCGACTAGCAGGGAGGGCCTCTGAGAATGCCGGCTGCAATGTAGTAAAGTAACTTAGGAGAGAGGAAATCCCAAGAGGAGAACTGTCCGGGCAAAAGGGGGAGGGAGAGGGACTTGTGGGAGGGAAATGGGGACAAAGATAGGGGGAAGGGGAGGTGCGATTGGAAGGGAACTGGGAAAAGGGGGTAGCAGAGGAGGGGGAGATGTACTAGGAGAAGTCCCTGGCCAAGAATCTGAAGACCAGGTTAGTGGAACTGGTTTGTGTGAGAGTGTTTCTGAGGGGTTAGCAAGGGGGTGTAGGGCCAGCCTAGCGGGTGGAAGGCCCGGCAGACAAGGAGGGGGCGACAGGGTGAGTTTACGCCTCCTGGCGCCACTAGCGGTTAATGGAAGGTCCAAAAATCGGGTTTTTTCTCCGCATCACCCTCCTTGCCGGTGACCCAGCTACCCGAGTCCGCAGTCCCGGTGCCGCTCTCCCTGGCGAGCCAGGTGCCGACCTGGCCCAATA